CAGCCTCATACCCAGTAAGCCTACCTCCATTGTGACCCTCACTGTCACCAGCCTTGATCCCTGAGTCCTTATCTTCCAGGTTGTGTTTAATGTCAATTTTCTGTTATTTTCTTTTAGCTGGTAGAGTGTCCTGAAGAGAAATACTAACTGATAAAACATTTCTATCTGAAATCCTTGAGATTTCATGCAGTAGCCTTTTTGTGCTTAATTTGATTTTGACAGAACTGGTATCTAGTATTTTTAGTTCTTTCATATTTTTAGTTCTTGACTGACCTTTTAATGAATTGTAGGCATTAGTTTTAAGGGTTTTTTTTTTCTTTTAAAATACACATTTCAAGATTAAGAGCACTTTCAGCTATTAAATTACTGGTTTAAAAAAATCATCGTAAACAGATACATATTTATGAAAGAAAAAGATTTAACTATAATAATAAATAGAAGATGGTAGTTCACCAGATGAAATCATTTTCTAAGTTTGAAAATACAGTAGAACTCTGACAGAAAACTTTTTTAGAGAATCAGAGGAAGAGAAAGTTATAGGTCAAATTTGCTCTGATAATAAAAAATGCTGAGGGATACCATCTGTGGTCTCCTTATCTTCAGGCAAGCTAAGTCAACAACTGATCTCAATTTTAAAATAGAATTTTCCCAAACACACTTAAAAACTATTCTAGGTTATAAAGGGCATAGAAGGATACAAAGTCTTTCTTTACCTTTTAATTCCAGATTGTTGGATTTTTCTCTTAGATAGGTTTCTCTTTTTATCCTGTTTCTCTTACCTTTATTATCATAGCCAAATGGAACCAAAAGTATTGAAGATTGAATATGGAGGAGAGATTGGGGGCTATATTGAACCTATTGGTGAACAAGGAGGAAAAAAGAGTAAGACTTTTTCTTAAAAACTGACTTCTAAGGAGGCGCCTGGATGTCTCAGTCAGTTAAGCAGCTGCCTTTAGCTGAGGGCATGATCCCAGGGTCCTGGGATCAAGCCCCGCATTGGGCTCCCTACTCCGGGAAGCCTGCTTCTCCCTCTCACACTCCCCTTGCTTGTGTTCCCTCCCTCACCGTCTGTCTCTCTCTCTCTCTCTCTCTGTCAAATAAATAAATAAAATCTTTAAAAAAAAAATGACTTCTGGGGGTAACAGGGTGGTGGGTATTAAGGAGGGCACCTGTTGTGATGTGCACTGGGTGTTATATGTAACTAATGAATCATTGAACACCGCATCAAAAACGAATGATGTACTATACAGTGGCTAACTGAAAATAATTAAAAAAAAATTTAAAAAGTAAAAATTTCAATTCTCTGGGAAAAAAAAAGATTTCTATTTAATTTATAGACCATTTAATAATAATAGTCTTTGGTATTTATATTTTATTTTAATTCACTTGATTTGTTTATAAATTATACATTGGTAATATGTAGGAAATCACTGAGCAGAACCATGGCACACACAGGCAGTCAAATATTTATCAAATCTAAATAAAGTTCTCTAGTCAGTGGTTCTCAAGCATGGGTAAAGCTTTCCTTTTCTAGAAGGGGAAAAAAAGGTATCAGAATGTCTGTGAAAGAAATTGTTTTCTCAAATGCTACCATCTCCCAGAGATTCTTTTGTGTCCCTCTCCTATGGGAATAGTATGAGCATACTGACTCTCTTCCTCTGCCTCCTGAGTACTGTTGAAACAGGAAATGTAGTGAACCCCTGAGAAAGTATTTTATAAATCAGAGTTGTATAGCCAGTTTCAAATTTCATTCTTATGTTACAGATTAAAGAAGGTAGGGCATGGAATATGACTGTGAACTATATTGGAAAAAAATCCATTGGATTTCATTTGAGTAGCACACTAGTGAGCTATATAGATCATAAAGATTTTTCTTTTTTTACTGAAGTATAATATAAAATAAATAGGTCATGAGGCAGTAGTATAGATCATAAAGATGTTTAGGGAAGGCGAATGAAATAGAAAAGCCCTTCCAAAAAAGATTCCTACGGCTGGGTACATTGTCAATATCACTGTTGATCTTGAGTTAATTTCTACTATAAGTCAAAGATATAAAAAGAGATACATATATTCCCTTAACTACTTTTTCTTTACTAGCAGCAACATTTCAATAATTAGGTAATTTGCAAACATAAAAATGTTACTAAAGAATGAGGAAGTCTGGGTATAAACCTATAAGAAAACAGTGTCTCACATTGGGTTATCATACACTTGAAGTATTAAAAAGAAAAAAAGACCCTTCTATAAACTTCTGTGCACTTTCCATATCAATCTTAAAGGCTGTTCTCAGGGTTTCATCCATACTTCTGACCTCTCAGTCCCAAAATCAGTTTATTTCCTCTGGCTCATTTTTTGCCTAATAGTTGGTTCTCTAATAATGGGTGGATAGAAATATAATAGCTAAACCAAAAAAATGTGTGGTCTGTTCTTCTCTGTGCTCTTAGACCTACTGCAATATTTTAGAGGCCTTGATTAAAGGAGATAGACAAGTTGAATGTTTTCTGAGGGAAGTGACCAACAAGAGGAAAGGATCCAAATGAACCAAAATATAACAGAAAAGAATTTAAAGGTAGAAAAAGGTACATATTCTGACTCAGAAGACATATTCAAGGTCTTTTTCTACCACTTGTAACGTCGTATGGGTCATTTTAACTCTCTGAACTTTGGTATCATTTGTAAAATGGAAATGGAATGCCTGTCTTCACCTCACATGATTATTGTGAAAATCAAATGAAATAGGATATATGAAAGCCCTGTTGTGAAATGTACTTTAAAAATATTAGAAATGTTAACTATGTGGGGTGATAGATATGTTAATTAGCCTGATTGTAGTTCACATTTTGCAATGTATACTTGAATCAAGTTGTACACCTTAAATATACATACAATTTTTAACTGTCAGTTTTACCTCAGTAAAACTGGGGGGAAAATGTTGGCTCCATGAGTGCAGACCCATGTAGGCTTTAAGTATGCAATAAATTTTGTTACAGGATGAAAGAAAAGAGAATATTAATGTATTAGTATTGCTTTGGGCGGAATATAAGTTTAGAGGAAATATAACACTTAAAATGTGCTTTTAGGGTTATCATGTGAAAGAGGACTTAGATTTGCCCTGAATGGCTCAAAAGCAGAACTGATTCTTGAGTAGAAGCTGCATGAAGAAAAATTTCAGCTCAGTAGAAGAAATAATTCTGTATAATTTTCAGTATTTTTCAAACATAAGATGGTTTATTCTAAGAGGTGAAACACTCCCTATTCCTGGAGGTGTTCAGGTATACTCTTGCTGAACACATGAAAAGGATAAAAAGCACAATATGGATCACATTTTTTAAAAATCAACTAGATCACATTTAAGATCCTTTCCATCTCTATTATTTCATGACTATGAATACTCAGGTTTTTTCTGTTTCCTTGAATTTATGTTCTTTATTACCTGTATTGTCAAGATTTTATTGTCCACAGATTCAGTTCTCTTTGTTCTGTCTTTGCGATCTTCTGGATTAATTTCTTAACACATTTCTCTATATTAATTCACATTATTTTTACTTTTGGAAAGGTTTCCCTGTATATTCCATTTGTCTCTTCATGACCATCCACTATCATCATCAACCCATCTGACCCAATATAAAAACCCCAATGTACCATTCCCTTTTCAGCATAGGTTGACATCTATACAGAACCTCAAGATAATCATATTTTTATCCTTTTATACCTAAAAGTTTTAAGTCTCCATATACGTTTTAACATGCAAACAGAGTTGCCTCTCCATCCAAAATTGCTTTTAGAAAAGTGAGTATTTTTGTAACAAGGAAGTTAAATTTTCTACTATTTTAACCTATTTCTGATAATTGAGAAAGATGACAATGCCCTATTATAGTTGCCACTTGAACAGCACAGGTTTGAACTGCCTAAGATCCTCTTATACACATACTTTATACAGCATAGTATTATGAATGTATTTTCCTTATGATTTGCTAAAAACATTAGCTTACTTTATTGTAAAAATGAAGTATATAATAGAACATACAATATATGTATTAATTGACCATTTTTGTTATGGAGAAGGCTTCCAGTCAACAGTAGGCTATTAGAAGCTAACTTTTTGGAGAGTTAAAAGTTATATGCAGATTTTCAGCTGCAAAGGGGGTCAGCACCCCTAACCCCTGTGTGGTTGAAGGGTCAACTGTATTTCATTATTTCAAAATTTATAGTAGTTCAGAAATGAGTTGTTCAGCATTTTTTTCTCTTAAACTTTTTAGGGAAAATAAGTAAATTATGTAATAAACATGATTGCAAAAAATCTTTAACTTGTTTCAGAGAAAATACTTTTCTGTTACTTTAAAAGCATCTCCTGACAATAAAACAAATGAAGTATAAATTAGAAATTGTATTTCTGCATAATAGGATAATGACATTTTTAGAATAGTTTAAATTAATAATTTTGGAAGTAATCCTGTTTCTACTCATCATTTAGGTTGGTCTCCTATACCATTATTCTGACTTATGTTTTATGTCCTGCAGGTTTTGGGGGGTTTTTTTGGTTTCTTTTTTAAAGATTTTATTTATTTATTTGACAGACAAAGATCACAAGTAGGTGGAGAGGCAGGCAGAGAGAGGAGGAAGCAGGGTCCCCACTGAGCAGAGCACCCGATTAGGGGGGGCGGCGGTGGGGGCTCTATCCCAGGACCCTGGGATCATGACCTGAGTAGAAGGCAGAGGACCCACTGAGCCACCCAGGTGCCCCTGTCCTGCAGTTTTTATGTAGCATGGATTTACAATCTCTGTGTTCCTAAGATCTTAGAAAATGGCTTAAAATCTTTGCGTCTTCTATAGATTTTATATTTGTATTTGGTTGTGTGAAAACACATAACCAACTTGCTGCTTTTGGTATATCCACAAAACCAACTTGCTTAAAACACTGTATAGCTTCAAAGTAACTTTTGCTTTCTGTTTTTTGTAAACTTATTTGTACCCCAGCTTATTTTTTTTCCTCTGAAAAGCCTTGCAGTGAGAGAATTTCTTTGTCTGGATGATCCACCAGGTCCATTTGATAGCCTAGAAGAAAGCAGGGTAAGTGCCGTATTATGTATCACATGGAAAGGGGAACAAATGATTCAGTACAATAACTACATTGTTTCCTGAATGGAATAGCAAACAGCAAAATATTATAATTTCCGACCATCATCGTTTTATACAGAAAACTTTTAATGTTTGAGTCAAAGATGTCTTTAATTGAAATACATGAACCTAGTTTAGTGAAAAAATAAAAGTTCATACATGCCATGCCATCAGTGAAGCTCTAAAATTAAATCTTAGTTTTTTTTCTCCTTTTACTGTTTGGAAAAAAAAATCATCTGGAAATTTATTTTACTACATTTAAAAACGCTATTTCTGTGCTGAGTTTTCTCCCATCTAAATATCAAAGTAAAGAGCCTACAATTAAAATCAATTAAAACTTACCTTCAGAAGTAGATGTTATTGTCTTGTTATCAATTCAACTCAAGCTTGATGCTCCTCAAATTACGCTAATTGACGTGTTAGAGTGGCCTATTTCTTGAAGCAGTTGGCTAGATTCACAAAACAGATTTGGTAATAATAGGGAGGATTTTATGCAAGTTTGCCCCCACCCCCAAATGTTCAATTGCATTTAAATGGAACAGATTTAATTGATAGATTTGTAATGTTTTCAGTTAAACTGAATCTGTTCTTTGTATTAGAGTAAATGCCATAGCTTTTTGGAAACAGCCTTATTGAAGTAAAAATTTCATCCATAAAATTAGCTATTTACTGTTCCATTGTAAAAGTACAATTTAACAATTAGTAAATTTATAGAACTGTGCTACCATCACCATAATTCAGTTTTAGAAGTTCCCATTACCTTGAAAAAAATTCCTGCCAGACATTTTGCGATCAGTCCAACATTCCCAGCACCAGACAACTACTGGTCTGCTTTCAGTTTCTACAAATTGGCCTTTTCTGGTTATTTTCTATAAATAGAGTCACATTTTGTGCGTGTGTGTGTGTTTGTGATCAGTGTTCAGTATACATAATATTTTACAAATACAGTATGCATAACATAGTATACATTATATAATCTTTACATCTACTTTCTTTCACTTAGCATCATGTTTTTGAGGGTCAACCATTCATATTCTATAAATATAGAAGCAATACTTTTTGTTGCTGAATGGTTTTTCATTGTTTGCATATACCACACTTCTTTTATTCAGTCACCAGTTGGACATTTGAATAGTTTCCAGTTATGTGCTATTTGAATAATGCTGCTGTGAACAATCTCATAGAGGATTTGTGTGGACATTTGTCTTTATTTCTCTTGGATTGAGCCCTAGAAATGGAACATTTGCTTATATGGCAAATTATGTTTAACTTTTTAAACTTACAAGCTGTTTTCTGAAGTAGCTATACCATTTTCCCTTCCCACCACAAGTGTATGAGAATTTCACTTTATCCATGTCCTCATAAATGTGATTTATCTGTCTTTTGGAGTATAGCCATTGTGGGTATGTAATGGTATTGTGCTATAGTTTTAATTTGCATTTCCCTAATTTTTTATGTTGGCCACTTTTTTTTTTAATATGTTGATCACTTTTTCTTGTGTTTTTTAGCCATTTATATGTTTCATGAATTGGCTATTTATGTCTTTTGCCTTTTTTGTGTGTGTTTAGCTGTTATATTGAGTTATAAGACTTCTTTATTTTGGATATAAGTCCCTTTATCAGATACCTGATTTGCAGATATTTTCTCCTGATCTCTATGTGTCTTTTCATCTTCTTAATGGTGTCTTTTGAAGTACTAATGTCTTTAATTTTAATGAAGTTTATTTTATCACATTTTTCTTTATGGCTTATGATGTTGTGTCATTAAGAACTCTTTACCCAGAGGTGCCTGGCTGTCTGAATCAGTAGAGCATCCAAGTCTTGATCTCAGGTCATGAGTTCAAGTTCCATGTTGGGTGTGGAACCCACTTTAAAAAAAAAAAGAATTCGGGGCGCCTGGGTGGCTCAGTGGGTTAAGCCACTGCCTTCGGCTCAGGTCATGATCTCAGGGTCCTGGGATTGAGTCCCACATCGGGCTCTCTGCTCAGCAGGAAGCCTGTTTCCCTTCCTCTCTCTCTGCCTGCCTCTCTGCCTACTTGTGATCTCTCTCTGTCAAATAAATAAATAAAATCTAAAAAAAAAAAAAAGAATTCCACCTAATACAGGTCAACAAAAGTTTTCTCCATTTTTTTTCTAGAAGTTGTATAGTTTCTTACATTTAGTCTATAATCCATTCTGACCTGATAGATATATATAACGTATGAGATAAGGGTTTTAAGTTCCTACAGATAACCTAATTATGCCAGTACACTTTTTGTGTTGGTACCTTTATCAAAAATCAAATAAACATAAAGGAATGGTTTTGTTTCTGGACTCTTAATTCTCTTCCATTAACCCAGTTACCTATCCTTATGCCAGTACCATACAGTCTTGTTTATTACAGCTTTTTATGGTTACTGTTTACATAGTGTGTGTGTGTGTATATGTGTGTATATATATATATATATATATATATATATATATATTTTTTTTATATTTATATTTTTTTTTTTTTTTTTTTTTTGCTTTCAGTTTGTGTCTTTCAATCTAAGGTCTGTCTCTTGTATATAACAATATAACATATAGTTGGGTTTTGGTCTTTTGTTTAATCTGACATCTTTACCTTTTACATCTGCCATTTGCAATTTATTTTTTTATCTGTCTCATCTGTTTTGGTCTTCTTCATCCTTACTGCCTACTATTATGTGAAATACACATCTTTTATATGCCAGTTTGATTCCTCTATAGAAATTTTTACTTTTTTATTTTTTAACGGTTGTTCTTGGTATTACAGTATACATCTTAACAGTCTACTTCAGAGAAATAGTTAATTTCAGGGAATCATAAACTTAGTTCCAGTACATCTTTTTGTCCCCTCTCCTTGATATTACTATAATTACATTTTTTTTTTTTTTTAAGTAAGCTCTATGCCCAACATGGGGCTCAAACTCACAACCCTGAGGTTAAGAGTCACATGCACCACTGACTGAACCAGTCAGACACCCTTATTTTTTATTACATATTTTAAATCTGTGTGTCATAAAACCAGTATAATAATTATTTCTTTATATAGTCTTTTCTCTTACAAAGAAATTAAGAGAAGAAATGAGAAAAATATGTTACAAACTTTTATATTTGTCCATATATTTACTATTTCCAGCCCTCTGGTATTTTGTTTGGAATTATTGTACATTTATTGATTAATTTTGAAGAGCAAAGTCATTATAGAATTCATTCCTTGCTGTGGATTGGTATTATCATCTAGTATCACATTCTTTCAGCTTCAAGGCCTTCCTTCCCTTAGTACTTTTTGTAAGGCAGGTCTGATGGCAACAAATTCTCAGCCTTTGTTTATTTGGGAAAGTTCATTATGAAGGATAATTTTATTGATGGTTTTTTTTCTTTTACTACTTTGTGTCATTCCTTTGTTTTCTGGCTTCCATTGTTTCTGATGAAAAATCAGCCTTTAATTATATTCTCATGGACATGATGAGCCATTCTGCCCTTGCTACTTTCAAGATTTTTTTCCTTTGACTTTCAGCAGTTTTATTATGATATATCAAGGTGTTTATCAAAATTTGGCTTCATTGAGCTTCTTGGATTTAGTAGATTAGTGCTCTACATCAGACTTAGGAAGTGGTTGGCCATTATTTCTTCAAATAATTTTTCAGTCCTTTCCTCTTACCCTTCTCCTTCTGGGATTCCCATTAGCCATATATTTGTATACTTCTCATTGTATTACGTGTTTCTGAAGTGTTGTTCACTTTATTTCCAATCATTTTTCCTCTGTTCTTCAGGCTGAATAATTTCTGTTGATCTATGTTCAAGCTCACTGACTCATTTTTCTGTCATTTGAAATCTGCCATTGAACTCCTCTTGTTAATTTTTCACTTCAGCTATTGTGCTTTTCAACTCCAGCATTTCTATTTGCTTTTACATTATAATAATTATTCTATTTCTTTATTGAGTCCTTACTGTGATAATTAATTACTGTGGCTTTATAATTTTTGTAACTGGCAAGACAAGATTTCCCTTCCTTGTTCTTCTTCAAAATTGACTATTTGCTTTTCTGTATGAATTTTAGAACCAACTTGTGAGTTTCATAAAAGATCCTTGGGGCATTTTGTTTGGAATTATTGTACATTTGTTGATTAATTTTGAAGAGCCGAGTCATTATAGAATTCAGTCTTCCTATCAATAAGATCATTGCTTTAAGTCTTGTTTAAAAGCCTTCAATAAAGGTTAAATTTTTTCCTTGGGACATCTGGGTGGCTCAGTGGGTTAAAGCCTCTGCCTTCGGCTCGGGTCATGATCTCAGGGTCCTGGGATCAAGCCCCGCATCTGGCTCTCTGCTCAGCAGTGAGCCTGCTTCCTCCCCTCTCTTTCTCTGCCTGCCTCTCTGCTTACTTGTGATCTGTCTGTCAAATAAATAAATAAAATCTTTTTTTTTTTTTAAAGTTTAAATTTTTTCCTAAAACTTGTAGGGAAAGCTGTAGAATTTATTATTTGGGGGGTTTTTTTAATCATAATTGGTATTTTTATTATTTGTTAAAGATTTTATTTATTTGATAGAGAGAGAGAGCACCCAAGAAGGGGAGCAGCAGGCAGAGAGAGAAACAGCATCCCCACTGAGCAGGGAGCCCGGGGGGGGGCTCCATCCAGGACTGCAGGATCATGACTTGAGCCAAAGGCAGACCATCAACAACTGAGCCACCCAGGCACCCCTACTATATTCTAATTTATTACTGTTGTATTGTTGTTTTCTGTATATTTTATATGTTATACTTTGGTGAAATCTATCATTAGTTTGTAGATCCTTTTAAATTTTCTGTATAGGTAATCATATCCCCTGAAATACTACAGTTAAAATTTTTCTGTTTTAATCCTTAATACTTTTCATTCTATTTTCATAATTTTTTGTGCTACCTGGGAGCTTTAGAGTAAATAGAAGCAGTTATGACAAACATCCTTTTC